GCATCATGTGGTCAGCCATTTATTATGCACTTCATGTGATAGTCTCTTAAGTATCTCAACGATTGTTCATGTGCGTGCTACAAGTCTGTAGTTACAAACCGGAGATGGATCAGCCTGTCTTAGAAAGGCAGCCTCGGTGCTGGGTATAGATAAAATGAAGTGCACTCTGTAAGAAATTTAAGGATGCTAATTAGCGTGAAGGCTATTGCATGAACATTGTGTCACTCAGAGCTGTAGGTATTTTTCATTTATGTTGTTTTATAGCATTTTTCTATTATGACTAAAGAGTGTAGGCCTGATCTTGTTTTTATTATCCTCTCTATTCGAGCAGACAAATCTATTGCTCATAAAGTCTGACAAACTGAGATGGGAACTGCTTACTCCCTCCTGAGCTCCATGAACATCATCATAAAGGGCATCATAGTTTTTAATATATATATAACCTTTTCTGTATGCAGTACAACTTCTTCCACTTCAGGTAGTGCCACCACAGTTTTATTAAAACAGAACTCCAGGGGAATATTTGAGGAAGACAGAAGTTTCATCTCAGGCAGGCATGCAGAATTGCACCCTCGTAAGAAAGGAAAGAGCTTGAAAGGAACTTTCCAAAACTGCGGGAATGAGAGCCCTGGGATCTCAGCCCTGTTTCCAGAGTTGGCCGAGCAAAAAGGGGTTGGGTTTGTTTATTCTCCTGTTGACTCCTGGAGTCTTTCACCTCTCCCTGCACAGTCACCAGGCTTCAGTGGGAGGAATGAGGAACAGGAGGTGAGGGTTTGAACCCAAACATACTGGAGAAAGCAATTCCTGAGTGCACGCTGTAATCCCTTGTGTGCTAATGTGCAAAAGTGGGGAATAATTTCTTCCTCCTGAGAAGTTTTTGAAGAGAATTACGACTGAATTCAGTGAAGTCTGAAAGTGCATGAGATGAGTTTGTGGGACCAGCCCTTTCAGAGCTGAGGTGCCTTTACATCCCTTTCTCTGAACCTCCCAGCAAAGGTTAAACACATCACACACATAGATGCCAATGCCACAGTGGCTGCTTGGGTTTAGACCTAACGTAGGAACATTCGGTGCAAAAAAGAGATAAAGAGTGATTTTAGGACTACATCATTCTGGAAAACTCGTGTTCAAAATCACTCTGAGATGCAGGAGTGATTTATCTTGCCTACAACCAGTTGCCTCCAATCACTCAACTGTAATCCATCTTAATTCACTCCTCCCAGGTTTTTTAAACACTCTTTTTTTAGTCCTAAAACTTATTCAGTGAAGACCCAGCCATAGCTTTACATATACTTCTTTTCTCTCAAATCATTTTTTCTCCCCCTTTGAATAAATAACCTCATTTTCTCCTTAGAGACTATATAAAGCATTTTTTTTTTATTTTTTTAATTCTGTTTTACAGTATTCAGAATGGTTTGGCATTCAGCAGTAGATAAACAGATGAGTTTATTATTGTTTACTTAAAAAACTGACCAAATATAAATTCCTTATCATTACCTTTCACAAGCTTGCTTATAGTACTCTTACAGTTTTCAGAAGATAGTCGCATTTTTTACTATTTCCCGTAATTTGCATTTTTCTGACCTGCACTTTTATTCAACAAAAATGAGATACCTTCTTAAAACTGCAGAATCATAGAGAGTAAATCCATAGAGGACACTTATCATTCAAAAAAAAAGATAAATTACTCCTCTACCATTCAATTGTCTGAGGATAACTTCTATACACCCACACACTCCCTTGAGCCCCTGCATGGGATTGTTTAGGTGTTTTCATTAGAGGATAAATAGAATTAGAGCGAACTGTTTATAGGAACCGTTTAAGAGGCATGAAACATGAAAATATGACCGTAATAAAGACAATGTAGTTCCTCTGGAATGGTATTATCACTTGGTTTCTCTCTATACATATAATAGGAACGACGCTGCGTAACTTTAAAATGTGGGTATGCTATACACAACATCCAGAAAGTTACATGTCAGCATTTCCCACGTTAGCTGCAATTTGAGGCAATACCTGGCTAAGGAAAGCAATATGTCATCCCAGTTGTACTCTGTGCTGCTTGGGGAGAACACTGTTACCTGCCACCGTCAGTCCACAGCTCCTGCCGTATTAAGGCTGGCATGAATACAGCTTCTTTTGAAATTCTGAAAACTTTGATATTTTGTCATTAAAACGTCTCTGTGTACTTAAGCAGGCATTTTAAAGTGCACTGGCATGTTTGGCGAGTCGGTGACATATTTGTCAGTGATAAGCTGCACGCCTTATCTTGTGAGTGGGCGCCTTCCTCCGTGTCGCGGGTTTAAGATGTGCTCATAGTGAAAAAATGCTACATTTCAGGTCTAAGTATTTGCTAGAAGTAGCCTTCCGACTACAAATGGGTGTAGTCCCACATGCATTTATTCACCAGATAGCCTCAGATGGCAATGGAGTGTTGGACAGTTTATGAAAGACATGAACTACCTCCATTCATCCCAGTGCTCTCTGAATCCTACTAAATTCCCAGTGTCCCTGCTTCAGTGCTTCAAAAGCAACAGAGGCAGGGGAACGTGTGGCAACGTGTCTGTCCTCTCAGCTGATGGCAAAACAGTCACACATTAAAATACAGGCTCAAATTGGTGGCCTTCTCTTGAGCAGGTTACAAGCTCAGACTGACCTGTCTATAAATAATTTAGAGGGTATAATTTAATCTGTGCGATGGATTCAATGTGTTTCCCCTGCATTCGGTGAGACCACGTGTATCGTATTACTTGGGGTATTCAGGTATCACTGAATAAAGTCCTCAGATTTTTCGTCATGGAAGCATAGGAGAGCACCTTTGTTCAGGAAAAATAATTAAGTGAAAACTTTATTCCAACAATGTACTGAGAAGTAAGCATACAATACTTAAAATGTAGCAGGTGCTAAAGTTTGCCTGAGTCATGGGACATTCTGCTAGGATCCTGATTCACTTATATCTCAAGTATAAGAGTGCCTTGACTTAATCTATCTGGGGACTTCATGAACACTGACCTACAATTCACAGGATGCTCCTCCACACGAGCTCCTTTTGTGGACACTTTTGACATGTAGTTTGTGTAAGGTAGTTTACCACTTTCGTGTATTTGTAACCTCCCTTGTTCAAAATAGCTTCCCTTTGTAGACAAACATTTTTATCGCTGAATACTGTTTTCTTGATCTTGCAGAAGACTTCCTTCACTCCAAATGCTGAATGTGCTTGGACTCCTGATGAGGGGGGAAAAAAAATAGATCATCTGGCTGTAGTGTTGGGATGAATTGAGTTCATTGTGCCAGAAATATTTTGAATTCTCATAAAGGTCCCGGAAGCGAAGCACTTAGGCTGGAAAACAATAAGCAAAACCACAAATGTAGGGTGGAAAAAAGGAAAGAATCTACAAATACGTAGGGTATGGAGTGCCGAGCTATTAAATTATCCTATCAATTGGCAATACCGTTAGACGTAGGTGCATTTAAAAACTGATGAACTTGCTCTGTTGAGATCTTTGTTACAGAACTCACTCACTGGTGCATGACGCTGGGCCCAGAAGTGCTTTCCCAGATTTATGTGGAAAAGTACTTACGAGAAAAAGTATTTCTTGTTGAATGTAGTGTTTTAATACCAGAAATCTAGTACCTTTTCTTTCCATTATTTTGTCAAAGCTGCTTGATTTAATCCAAAGGAGCAGAATTTTTCAGCATGTTAGAGAATGATTTTTTTTAAGAGAAGTAAACCAGATACCATGTTATTTCACTTGTATCCTCTCTTCTGCTTACTGATAAGTGGCCTGATCTCAATCCCACTGAAATCACTGAGATTTCTGATTTTATTCAAAAACAGGAGCGTGCCTGTCATCAGTTTCCATTACTCTCCAGAAGCAGGGTTAGCTGTGTGGCAAAGCGGGGATAGGTGCCTCAGCACTGCCGGTTATTAGCACTGTCCAATTCTGGTGAAGAGCACAGCTTTCTTAAATTGGGGTGTGCTTTGCCTGCTGTTGTGTCCTGCCTAATCAGCCCCTCTGTTGGCAGGGTTATTGCTGATGAGGTAGACCACTGGAATTGTACTTCTGCACTTTGGATGTTATAAACATGTCGTTAAACCATCTGGTTTGGCTTGTCATTTGGGTAAAACTGATGAAGAAATTAGTCCTTGATGGGGACCTCCAAGGGGTAGTTTTCTATGTTGTTCCTTCTTATCCAGTAGCCCCAATATTCATTCCAAACTACGATGTGGACTTTCATAGCTGAATTGCTTTTAAAATAAAAGGCCTGTATTTTCAACTTGAAGCAGAAGCACATCATTCTAGGCTAAAAGAAGTTATCTCCTCCTTGGTTTGTTACATATAGGACCACCTGGGAGGCAATATAAAATGGATGCAGAAATCCTCAAAATCAACTACAAAAAAAACCCCACAAAAGGTGTTTGTAAGCAATTCTAGTGATTCAGCTGTAACTTAAAATTTGGAAATAAAAGCATTTTGTTTGAGCAGCCTTTCTTAAAGATATTTCACTTTACTTTTTCCAGGAGCCACTGATGTGATGCCTCCACATTTTTTTTCCAGCTTAATCTATTGGGTCAAACGGTGAACAGATGAAGGCAGCAGAAGAATCTGTCTTCTTTCTGCCTCCCTTCAAAGCGTGAAGTAGCTGTGGGCCTGAATTATGAACGTTGTCCAGATCAGTGGCTGGAATAGCTTTTTTTGGCCCCACACAAAAATAATGAGATCAGTGAGACCAAGGCAAGGGGAAGCTCGGGAGATGTATCCCATTCTCACCTTGCACAAACCAGTTCCACTGCTGGCCACAGGTGGAAGAGGCAGAATTTATCTTCTTTATTTTCTTATGAATATCCTGGTCATGCCCAGTCTTCAACTGACAGTCACAGAGTACTGCCATTTCAACCAGGAAAGCAGAGTGTTAGTTCATGTAATTTTTTAGTTGCTTAATAATCGTGTTATTATTGGCTTGAACGCTGTTGTACTTAGACATGCTGTCTTTTCTAGGTAACATTTCGGACAAGAATCTACCACTGTAATATTAACAGCCAAGGCGTCATCTGCCTGGACATTTTAAAAGACAACTGGAGCCCAGCATTAACTATTTCTAAAGTTCTTCTCTCCATCTGCTCCCTCCTCACAGACTGCAACCCGGGTAAGATGAATTAACTTTCACATTCGCGTTCATTCACGTTTCATATTTGTTCAGCTACCAGGATGTGGTCAGCATGCTGTTTTACCACTACCTACTAAAAAAAGACAAAAATGTAGATTTTAAATGCCGTTCATTTAAATTAATACATAGTATAGAAAGAAAGCACAATTTCAGGAGCTCAAGTGCATTTTTAGTACTTGAGAATAAAAATCTTTTAATTCCAAAAGTCTAATCAGTAGAAAGTACCTTGTAGTAGGCACTAATTTGGATATTACAACCAGGATATTAGTACCAAGAAATATTAATGAGTTAATAAATATTGAAAAGGAAAGCTTTCATTTAAATATGCTGATAATGTGTTCTCTGAAAAGAATATTAATAGTACTGACAATGATAGATGTCTAACACAGACTCTACAAATAATGAAAATTAATTTAAATGAGGTTTATTCAATATCCTGGACAGCCAGTATGAGTATTCAAAGCAAGCTGTCATTCTTATTAACTAGCATAGCACTTAACCTCTTCCCTCAGCTCTTTTAGATTTGTTTTCTGCCATTGACCACTAGGTCTGTAATTTCCACTTTCTCTTACCCTGTTTACCAATGACTGTTTCTGACTGTAGCCCTGGAAAATCGTAATATATAGAAATTATGAAAGACTCGTTAAAGAAAAATCAAGTGATCTGTTTGCACATTGTGAGGGTTGTTGCTGGTTTATTTTTTATTGTACACTTCATTTTTTTTTAATTTGCCAGCTAGTTTTTAAACCTTTAGGTTTCCTGTTTTTACAGTTTTCTCTCCAACAAAAGGGCTTAAAATTGCTTTGCAAAGGGCAGAATGTGAGATCCCTGTGTAATCAAGGGCTGAGTCAAAAGCTGTAACAGAAGACTGAATTATTTCCAAGCTCAAAATAAGGTGAAAGTGGGCAAAAATGCAATTGACTCTTTTTATTTTCATGTGGATTTGTTATTGTATATAGCATTAAAGCTTGTGGCGTTCCTTCCAGCTAAGCATTGAGGTGGTAAAGGGGCCCTGTGTTACCATTTCAGGCACATTTATTTCAGGTGTGTTAGACGCTCTCTGCTTACATCTCTGAAAGATTGACGTCTGCTAGTGTCTACCCCAAAATATGCAGAGATGCCTGTAGGAGGACAGGCAGATGGATGACAGAAGTATAAAGAAAAGCAAATGAATTATTTGCTCATGTGTCTTAGAGACTAAGTGAAGAGTGAGAGACACTGCAAAGCTGTGTTGGGATTGAGAAACTGGCGATCAGTATGTGTTCATTTGTGGTCACCTCCCTTTGGAGGGATACAGTCAACTTGCAAGCTGACCACTTTCCTGTAGTGATTTGAAATTTAGAAATTTACTACCTCTGCCCTCTCAATCTTTTTCTTTCCTTTAGGCTATTTTACAGATGCTGTCAAACACCAGTTTTAGCTGACCGAGTGTGTAGGAGGAACACTGGAAACAGTTACCCATAATATATTATCATATGCAACAAGTTAACATACTGAAAACGGGAGGTTATTCTTCCCTTCCGTTTCTTTCAGTTGGTAGCCATAATAAGCATTCTCATGGCCATAGGAAATAAAACAATTTTACAGTGTTTCATTTTCAAATGTTCTCTTTAGTTACAAAGTAATTTTAGATTTTTTTACTACTTCACGTTGAAATTTTCCTATGATTTTTTGAGGAATTAATGCAATTTCTTAATTTGTATTGTGAATTCCCCTCTTATGAGGCGCTCATGGCAGGTAGCTGTGAACTGCGGAGTCATTTTTGCCTTCCTTTGAGATCGCCTGTTTTGTGTTAGATACTTTTTTTATTAAAAAGTGAACTTTGAGTGTTAGTTACATACAGCAAGGGGCTTGCAAAAACGTACAAGTTCTTACTTTTCAACATATTGCCTAATATGCTACAGCTTGTTCTGGTTGTACTGCCTGTCCCGTTATTTTTTTATGACATTTTATCATTAACAAATGATTGGTTCCTTGCCATCCAGATTGAACGTGATGGACGGATGGATGGATAGATAGATAGATGATAGAAATATACATCACTGGTATATGTATCACTGAGATACCTATCGCAGAGGTATATCACATATGTGTGTACGTATATCGATAGAGGAACATGCATATATGTATTTTCCTCTCTGTCAGCTGGGAGTAATTTTCTAATCCCTCGGTCCTCTCTTCATCTAACTAGTCTGCCCCTTTCTAAAGGCAGAAACCCAACAGGGGTCTCGATTTGATAAGCAACTTTGAACTCTTTGTTCACCATTCATCAGCCAGAAGCAGATCAGGTCAAATGGAAAGGCAACACTGAATCTCCCACAAACACAAACACTTGGGATGGGCGAGATTTCCACCCCCAGCCTCTCTGAAGGGAAAAATCAAGTATCAGTTACCCCCTAGTCTTACATTTATGCAAATCTTCATTAGAACAACAAATAGCACTAAGAATGGCAGCTAATTAACCCTCAGTCATACACAGTGATTAAACGGAGCTGGAGCACAGCTGCAGCTTCATTGGCAAGCGCTGCTATTCTTCTCCAGCAGGCTGAGCAAATGAAAAGAGGTATTTGCTCCTGCCGCTCCTGTCATTCACACAGTAATCTACAAAAGCCACGGAGAGAGTCTCTTTCCTCCCCGGTTATACATCACCGCCCTTTGTTCCCTATCACTCCAGGCAGGAGCGAGTTTGTCCTTTTTAAACAACTAATACAATCCTTTACTCATAAGCTGTCTCAGACCCTTCAGTCCTGATTATTATTAATTGTCTCTATTTTGCTTGGCAGTATCAGCCAGTAAACTGTGTTAATGAAATGTCTGAATTTTGTAACAGCTGGCTGAGGTTTTTGTTGTGGGGGGAAGGGGTGCCGTAGGGTTTGCGTATGAGCGAACATGTGTGAATTATCTGGGAGTGCGAGAGAGCCAACTGGAATGGTATCAGAGAGATGGGAGAGATGATGGGGTATGCTAGCATTCAATCTGGGGATTCGTATTTTTCTTTAAGGTAGTACTCTGGGGCACAGCACACAGCTTTTGCTACCAAGCAGGGCCCCAATCCTGTAAATATTTTGGCATGCGCATGAGCGACCCTACAAAACCTGATAGATACACTCATCTGTATGAAACCGAGTATGTAAGTGCTTGTAGGCTCGGTGCTTGAGCACTGAAAATGTTTACTTCCAGTGCTAGCTGCTAGGGCTCGCCTACGTGGGCAGTTTGTTACTTCAGAGTAACTCCATCTGTGGACACTCCCCTCTTTGAAAATATATTAAGTCAAGTCACGAAAAACTGTCTTACTTGGAGTATAAGTCAACTGTACTTTAAGTATTCAAGCGGAGCCGGGGGAGTATAAATTCCCACACTGCCTTAATCTGAAGGAGCTTTCGAGTGTGGATGGCCCCTGAGGTTTTGTATTTTTACTGAACTTCAAGTATGAAAACAAGTTAATTATTTTTATATTTAAAGAGCTGGTGATGCTGATCTGGGCTGAAATGCTTACTGTTCTCAGTTGGTCATTGCCACCTCGGCCCTGCCAAAGGTTCTCAAGCCCCAGGAAAATTCTCATTTGCAAATGCTTCGGAGAAAATAAATTGAAACACAGACGAGACTGTGCTGTAACTTTTTTCTTTGCATGGCCTCCTTCTTCACACGTTCAAAGTCTGAACTTGGCTGGCCTGATTATCCCCAATGTCTGAACGCTCTAAGGGCAAATCATGGCTGCTTAATAGCACGTGGCTAAGTCTTGATTAGGACCTGCCTCTTCAATTCTGGTGTCATCCTCTGCCTCCGGCTCCTTACCATTTTTCCCACACACAAATTCTACAACCAGTGGCGATTTTATCCCTCGATCGTACTATTGATGTTCCTGAACCGAATGCTTCGGCACTGCTCCTGCCCTGTTTCCCATGTTCACAAACTTGAACATAGGAAGTTCCATCTAAACATGAGGAAGGTTGTCTTTACTTTGAGAGTGGCAGAGCACTGGCACAGGCTGCCCAGAGAGGTTGTAGAGTCTCCTTCTCTGGAGACATTCCAAACCCGGCTGGACGCTGTCCTGTGCAACCTCCAGGTGACCCTGCGCGGGCAGGTGGGTTGGACTAGATGATCTCCAGAGGTCCCTTCCAACCCTGACCATTCTGTGATTCTGTGTGGCAGGCTGTGCCTGGCTGCGAGCTCCTGCGATGAGGATGTGCACGGTGGTGCAGACGGAGGATAAGAGGGGCAGCCTGAGCCAGGGCCAGCCACAGCATTGCTTTCCCACAAATGTGCCCGGTTAGGCTGAACGCTTGGCTGGCTGCTGTAACCAAAAAAAAAAAACTGCTGAAGGGCTCTATGAGAGCCTCGCTTGCTGTGCTCTTTAGAAACTGCTGCCTGATTTCTAGCTTGAACTGACTCATGGGAATTTTATACCCACTTGGTTTTAAGCAAATGTTATCCTATAGCTAAAGTGACTGTTTTCCTGTTTTTCATTTTCGATGTTCTAATGAAGAGCCATCCTCTTTCCTCCTGGTCTTTATTTGCTGCACGCTAACCAGACCTGTGTCTATTAGCCTCCTTCCGTAAGAGTGGCTTTCCATTCCCCTGCTTGTCCTCGCAGCCCCCTCCTGCCCCTCCATCGCGCTGCAGTCATCCTTCCTCAACGTGCCTGACTCGTGTGGAGTTCAGCGGGGCAGGAGGCACGGCTAGACAGACTAACCCGCTCATCATCCCCGTCAGCCCGGTTGAAATATTTACTGCTCCCCGCTGGATGTCCCTACCTCACTGGCAGACCTGTCAAAGGTTATTTCTTCCTTAGCCCTGTCATTTTCACTGTTTGTCTTCTTTCCAACCCAATTTAGTGAAATGATAGAGAAAGGAAAAGGGAAAAAAGGAAAAGGGAAAGGAAAAGGAAAAAAGGGAAAGGGAAAGGAAAAGGAAAAGGGAAAGGAAAAGGAAAAAAGGGAAAGGGAAAGGAAAAGGAAAAGGGAAAGGAAAAGGAAAAA